TTGGAGTTGTCCCAGGTGGAGAGAAAGATTATCTTCCTAGTTAAAATACTCTCTCCAAATCCTTTAATTCAGGTCGTTATCACTTCATATTTCTGCCATCTAAGATGCTAATTAATAGGTCTAGGAGCCTCTTTTAGCTCCTTAAGTTTTAAAAAAAATGCTCCCCAAGACACTTTTCTTAATGTGAGAACTATTGTAGTACATCAAGGGAAAAATACTTCAAACTGCTGTGGAGTATTAAGAGGTCATGGGTGTGCTAATTTGCTTGATTTTGTTAGTCATTTCCCTATGAATGTTAAAAGCAGATGGTGCTGGAGAGATGGCTCCGACTGTTACTGAGCCAGCGCTGACACCCGAGTTCAGATCCCATGCACCCAAGTGTAAAGCTGGGCACTGCTGTACACAGCTGGCGTGAACCCCAGAGTAAACTCCGTGTTGTGGGGTTTGTGGCAGAGACAACATGGTCACTGGACATGCTGAATAAGTCTAGCTGGAAATGGATGGAGTGTTCCAGGTTCACTGAAAGACCTGTCCACAGGGCATGAAGAGGAGGACTGGAGTGTTACTCTGGCTTCCACATGGTCTTGCATACACCTTTCCACAGGACAAGTAAATCAAAACATGTATAATATATGTATTAAGAGATTAAAATCAAAACCAGGAAAACTTAAAAGAATTTGCGAGCAGTCATGAATATGAAAGTGAGATTTATTGGATATCTGGGAGATATTTCCCTGGACAACGTGTCCCCTCTTTTGACCAAACTGAAGGACCAAGCCAGTCTTACCAGATCCACGGCATCCATTTCTTATTTATTTATTTATCTGTTTTTTCTTTGTGTGCTGAGTGACCCACAGACACTCTGTTGGCTGCTGACTATACAATACGCTGCAGCTGTCACTTTTTGGGACTGAGGTTGGAGATGACAATGAGATAGATATGAGTAGGAAAAACATTTGTTTTGAATGTGATTTGAGGGCTTCAGACATTGAGCATGTGCGAATTCAACATCCATCTTCACTAGATGTATTGGAAGCGCATGGTCTCTTTGCATATTGGTTGGACAGGAGTTTTGTCCTTTTCTAGTTTGTCCATTGTCTGAGTGTAAACTTGTTTCTGTGGGGAGAGCGCTTTGGGAATCTTTAGTGTTTTTCTGTTTCTGTGCTCAGCTTATGATCCTGATCTTGCTTTTGAAGTATTTAAAAATGTGGTAGAATCTCTTTTTAAAAAGCAATTTTGAGTTTTATTGATCTTCAGAGCCTGGTTTCTAATGCACAGACAGGCACTTAACTGCCTTTGGTAATGTTTCAGAATTAGATAGCTCAAGAGTTATTAGTGAGAGAACTAAGTTTCACCTAGATCTCTTGTGAGATTAAGAGATGGCTGTAACATTTCGGGTGTGCATATTGGTGAGGATGCACTTCCCATGCAGGTCCTTTATCTTGTTCACTTTTTTACAAACATTAAAGGATATTTATCTTTTTCATTTATCCAGTACACATTGTAGAGAACTACCACACTGTCAGTCGAGGAGATACAAATTTATAAGTAGAATCCCCATAACATAGCTTGTACTCTAGCAGAGAAGAGATATGTATTGTATGGTAGTAAAAACTGCAAGACTTTATGAGCCTGTAGAATCTTTGAAAGGAAGGCGCAAGTGTTTTTAAATCCGAGGTTAGAGTGTTAGTCTGCAAAGACACATAGCTGAATAATTCATGGAGTCTCCTCTGCTTTGCTTGTCTGAGTTCTCTGTGTTTTATTAGTATCTACATCTCATCAGGGGGGTGATTCCGAGTCATAAATGATTCTCAAAAAGTGCTCAGCAGAGTACAAGGTTCTCTAAATGCTCACAGCACATTAGGGACTCCGAGGCCATTGTTGTGTACCTTTCAGTTTCATTGAAGGGAGTGGAGAGTGTACTGGAGTGGTAGCTTTAGGGAAGAGTTGGAGGCTGGTAAGACGGCTCAGCAAGTACAGTTGCTTGAGGCCAATCCTGACAGCTGAACTTCTGTCTTTGGAACCCGCTTGGTAGGAGAGAACTGCCTCTTGCAAGTTGTCCTCTGACCTGAAAACTCATACTGGGCTAGGAGTTCACCCACACAGATGCACACAAGTGTTTTATTTTCCCCTATCTCTATAACATATCCTCAAATCACTGGCTTTTCTGAGAGGCAAGCAGCAGACATGGGTTCATGGCTACCCTCTTAGCGTACCTGCTGGTGACCTCTCTGGGGGAGGAAAGCCGGGAAATGATGCCTTTTCTATTTCATTCTGTTTTGTGATCTTATTTTCCCATAGCATCTTATTTTCATTGTGTTACCTGGAAGTGTGTTAACTAGTAGTTCAGCAAACTGCTGAATGTGGACAAACTTGGAAGCTTAATCCTTGTGGGAAATATCAGAAAAGAACCAAGGTTTAATCTTAATTACTTAATCTTTATAATCAATATATTCCTTAATACTTCAAAAGACAAGTCTGAGGGCTTTGCTAAGCAGTGATCATTTCAGCTTTGTGAACAGGGTAATCTTGAGATATACAAAATAAAATGAGAGCTAATGTTTGTGTTAGTCAAGATAATACTTTATGAAGTCTATTTTCATTGATTTTTCCTTTTTTTATATTTTTCTTTGCTTTTGAGAACTTTATACATGTATACAATTAAACACAATAATATCTACCCTCGTCTATTCTTCTAACTCCCTCAACGCAGTTCCCTCCCTAGTGAAGTTTATTTTTATTTTAGGTTAATTTTCATGTCCAACACCACAATGGACTGTAGATAAAACATAATTCTCCAGCTTAGGGGAACATTTGTGTAAGTGTCCATGTTCATTGAATACATGGTATAATTCTATAACTAAGGGTGGTGTACTATACCATCAGGACTCCAGATAATTACAGTCTATGGTAATTTAAACTGGGTAATTTGGGTAGAGTTTAACAATGGGATTACTTGTAAAGCTGTGCCCAAAGCTAATAAAATCAATATGGCCGACTGCAGTGCTCAGGTCTAAGCTGTTAGAAGCAGTTACTAAGGAGGTGGAGTGTTTACCGGAACTACTGGCCTGGGGAAAGATCACGAGAGGAGCAGTGGGTTATGTGACATCAATCAGCTAATGTCTGACTGTGCAGCAGGAATCGAGTCAAGGAACTAAGGTTTTAATCACATCCCCCCTTGGCCTGTGATTGGCCAGTCCTTCCATAGAGTGAATCAACAGAAAGTCAGAGTTTCGGGACCATTTTCTGGGATTGTTTTTTTTTGGTTCTGGTGATTCCCTGACTCCTAGGAAGACATCTCCATCTCTGCTTCCATAGCTGTCTCTCCTGCTGCTCAGAGAATAAGGACAGGTGTTTGCTTGAGATGAGAAACTAGCATAACTTTGCTTTGACCTCCTTTTCCCCTGGTAACAGCAGGCACTGAGAGTCATATGATTTTCACAGACACCAGGGTGTCTTAATGATGCATAACTGGATGTGAAATTAATACTCAAGCAAATAATTTTAAAGAGATTCTCTGGAAGTGAAGCTTCACAATCCTCAGAACATCCATTCATACTACCTGATTAGCTCAAATGTTGTGGATCTTAAGTTTCAAGATAGATCACAAGGTTAGGGATAGACCTTGGGGGCTTCTTGCTTCTTGTGGTTCAGAAGTGTGTGAGAGTGTGAGAATGTATGTGTGTTGAGAAGTGTGTGTTGTATGTCTGTGTGTTTGTGTGCTCATTTTTCCATGACAGTTTTGCAAACCCATTAATGTTGATTTGCAGGAGAGTTTGGTGAATTAGACCCACTATATAATACCTTTGCTTTCCATTTTTAACTCCAACTTTTTCCAAGATAATTTATTTTCTGTCCCTTTATTCATTTTGACTGCTCTTCTTTGGACTATTTCCAGTTTCTACACATTTCTAAAAGCAAAGCTTAACTATGACTAAAGGGCTATTCTGGGAAATCATTACTTGAAGAAAAACTGTTAAAGCATTTAAGAGTTTAAAAATGGCTACATAGTTGTTAAAAATGAAATGTTCCCCATCTCATAGTGCTGAGAGTGGAGTTGTAGTAAATTAAATCACATCAGATCAGAACATAAAACCTTGAATGGGAGTCATGCACACAGGGCCCAGAAAAGAAACCTTTGTTAAGAGAATATGACTGCAACGGCCAAAATTAAAGCTCTACGGGGAGGAGAGGATGTTTCTTAAACTGATCACTAAAGAGCCTTCTTGCTTCAGGAAGATGAAATGCTAGAATAGTCATGAGTCTTAAAATAACTCAGTTCCTTCACTGTGCCTGGAAAAGGAGAATCTCTAAGAGTTTATGTGGGGGGAGGACTTGTCCTGGAGGAGGTGGGAATGGAGGGTAGGCTGGGGGTAAGGGGAGGGGATGGGAGGGGGGAGAATAGGGGAACCCATGGCTGATATGTAGAACTGAATGGTATTGTAAAATTATATATATATATATATGTGTGTGTGTGTGTGTGTGTGTGTGTGTGTGTGTGTGTGTGTGTGTGTGTGTGTATTTGCTTAAGTAATCTTATAGTTTCCTTAGGTATAAGTAGGTAGATGAAAATGTTTATGTGAGTTTGTAAAAAAGTGTAAGTATTGAATGTGAGTCTAAATGCTTGCAAGATATGTTATATGTGAATTTGTAAAAAAAAAAAAAAAAGGGTTTATGTGGGAAAAGTTTTCATCACCGCTTACAGAAAGAAGAAAACTTTAACATATTATCAAAGTGACTTTAATGCCAATCTCTGTCTTGCTGGCTATCTATATTTTATTCCATAAAGAATAACCTAGAAAAAGTAGAATATCATCTTCTTTTTATTGGTTAATACACTGATTTGTATTTGCTTACAACCTTGCCCTAATCTTAAAGCCTGTTGGCTTCCCACAACAATATTACTGCGAATTTTCTAGTAAAATATTACTGTGCCAGGAGAGCTTTCCATTGTTATAGATAGTATATCTAAAATATTTTATTATTTTCAGAACAGATTCTCCAGTCTACTTGTGGATTTGTACATAACTACAGATAATGCTCAAAACAAAACAGGCAGTGCGGGCATATAGCCTGGTCGGCAGAGCACCCGCTAGCTGAGAGGAAGCCGAGGTTTGGGCTGAGCTGCATGAAACTGACCTTGGCGACACATGCCAGTTACCCCACCATGCAGGAGGTAAGACACGGGATCAGAAGAGGATTCCCAGCTACACAGCAAGTTCCAGACCAACCTGGGACACATGGGACCCTGTCTCAGAAAACAAACGATACATAAGTATAGAAAACGCAGATGCTGGAATTCGATGCTAGTTATATTGTCACATGGATTTTATAATCCATCCTGAGAGGTGTTGATGTAAATGTCAGTTTTGATAGGGGTGTTGTCAAGTTCCTGTTTTGGTTGGTGGTGGGAAAGTTCCCTAAAATGTTACCAGTGAAGACAAAAGGCCCAGGGCAGTGCGGACTGTGCCAGGATGAGAGAGGAAATTGAAAACTTGCAAATAATGCAGAGGGAGGTGCTTTTTAGGGTAGAACCCACAGACTTTCTCTGATGCCTAGTAGGATGGGTAACATTTTGAAAAACATTAGAAGATTTGAGGAGCAATTTATTTCCCCAACGCTTAAAGGAAACACTGAAGAAAAACACATTCTAAAATTCCTACAATAAATACTTCAGCGTCTACATATTTTGTAAAATTTGTAAGGATACCACAGACATTTAGAGTATTGCTATGTTCATTATTACCATTCTTAACATGTTAGTTATATATAATTTGATAGTTATTATAACAATTAAATGTAGCAAAAATTCTAACTGCTTGGCAAGAAAACTATCTTCTACTAATTGTACATATTTTAAAATGTCTATTGAATTCTGTCAGCCATTCTAAATAGTGCCCCTTTTCTTATCTTCATAAAGAAACTAAAATGATCTTCCTACTTGAGTCAAATTATGGTAAATCCAATTTTAATAGTATTTCCAACTTGAGTCTTCTCATCTTCTCAGAAAGAGATAACAAGCCTTGCAAAAAGATTTTAATTTTCCTCTCCTTTTGTGTGACAGTGCCTTGAAAGGAGTAAGCTGGAGCTCACTCAAGTGATACTGTCCTATTACCTGCTGGCTGGACCGATGTAGGGTCTCTATGTTGCTTGCATTTGTTAAGAGAGGGAGAGCCTGAGCAGCTGCCCTCTTAAATGACCAGGGTAGAGAGGAGTTATGGCTGGAGTCTTCCCTGACATCAGCACTTCTGTCTTTAACCAGCTGTTTCATTGACTCTTCAGCAGTTCTTACCCAGCTCTTTGTGCATTAAAAAGAAAACAGTGTTTTGCCCTCACTTCATAGCCTCATAAATGCTCTCTGGCTTAATTCTGGCTTGTAAACCTCTCTGAGCTCTCTAAAGAAAGGTAGACATAATTATTCAGTCTCAGGGATGTACTCTGCTGAGGGGTTTTTCTGAATGCTGAATGGAAGATTATGCAAACTCACCCCAGTGTTGTATGAGAGACTTTGCAATGCTGATTACATCTCCTGAGGGAACAAATTAAGTTTGTCAAATGCCTAGCATATCAGCCTCAAATCCACACACTATGTTTGACTAGGGGCCTTGTGTTTCATGACTAGAGAATGGAGCACCTTACTCCCACAGGATTTACAGTCCTGCACAGTTTGTGTGCTGGCACGGTAGAGACTTAGAAGGCAGAGGATTTTGTGTTTCTTGACAAAAAGACTTGTTGATGCCGAATTTTTGTGAACAGATTTTAAAACTGTTAAATGAAATGTTAGCATGCAGGATCCATTATTCTGTTTGTAAAATCAGTCTAAGGCCAGGATTACATGGTAAGGTTTACAGGAGAACTCGGGGACATTCTGCCGTGCTTGAGACATTATTGCCCTGCTGAATATGCCAGGGCCAGTGATTTTCACAAAGTAGAGAGAGGGATGAGAAGATAAATCTGAAAGGCAAACTTTTCAAGGCTACAAAATCTTTTGTACTTTCATTTTTAAAAATGTAATTTCAGCAAGATAAAACCAATAGCAGAAAGGCACATTAGCTGCTGGAGAGGTAGGCAGGGTTACAAAGAGCTAATTCAGAGAAGAGTATGTGTGACTATATAAGTATATGTAACAGCATTGGAAGGTTTTTGGTGGTCATGGAAAAGTAAATTAAATTTAGTGATGAGCTACAGATTTACATTCAGCAGAGAGGCACAGGAAAGAGCGATCACACCAGATTATAGCTATTGCTGATTCAGGAATGATGGAGAAAGGGGAGCCTGCTTACCTATGTCCTAACAAGAAATGCAATGAGTTGAGTCACAGCCTGAAGAGGAGAGCAAAGCAAACATGTTTATTGAAACTTACTTCCATATCCCGTAATCAGTGTAAATAACAATACTAGTAGTAAGGACAAATAAGAAATACAGAGCTAGTATTAGAGAAGAATTGCCACAAATTCTGGTAAATCCACATGCAGCAAATCGTGTGAGCTATCCACCAAAGCCTCTCTCCTTTTGCTTAAACTGTAGCTGAACCATGGTTGCTTGTCTGGTGCTTCCAGGGCATCGCAGCTTTGTAAGTCAACCATTGCCCCTGAAGTGCAAGTGGGCATGACCCACGCTAATTCCCGAATGAATGTGCACACCTGCCACATGCACCCAGTGTACTGGCTGGTTTTGTGTCAACTTGACCCAAGTTAGAGTCATCAGAGGAAGGAGCCTCAGCTGAGGAAATGCCTCCATGAGATCCAGCTGTAAGGTATTTTCTTAATTAGTGATCAATGGGGCAGGGCTCAGCCCCTAATGGGTGGTGCCAGCCCTGGGCTGCCGGTCCTGGGTCCTGGGTTCTATAAGAAAGCAGGCTGAGCAAGCCATGTGGAGCAAATCAGTAAGCAGCACCTCTCCATGGCCTCTGCATCAGCTCCTGTCTCCAGGTTCCTGCCCTGCTTGAGTCCCTGTTTTGACCTCTGCTATAATGGACTATGATCTGGAAATATAAGCCAAATAAGCCCTTTCCTCTCCAGCTTGCTTTTGGTCTAGTGTTTCATCACAGCCATAGGAACCCTAACTGAAACACGTGCTTCCTTCTCTCCCCAGTTCCCGGTGGGGTGACAAGGACTGGACAACTTTCATGTTAGGGGTGTTGGCACCAGCTCAGCCCTAAGCAGCAGTTTGGAACCAGCCACTGCAGTGATGAGTTGAAGTAAAATGATCTTGCATTTTCCCTCTTTTGGTTGTTGGAGTTTTTAGATTTCTTTTTTTTTTATAGTAATCTAGAGTTATGTAAATTAATATATGGTATGCACTATACTATAGTATGAAATCATTATTAGAAATAACTTAGAGCTAAGGAGGAGGGATATTTTTACATGGGAAAGAGAAGTTACATAATATTTGTTTTAAGGAAATAAACTTAGGGCTTGAAGAGATGGCTCAGAGTTAAGAACACATACTGCCCTTGCAGAGGACCTGAGTCTAGTCCCTGGCACCCAAGTCTGGTGGCTCACAACCACCTGTCACTTCACTTCTAGGTGATATAAAACCTTTTATAACCTCTGAAGGCACTTGGACTCTCATGTACACATGCACATACAAATAAACACATTAAAAATAAAAATAAATATTTTTTATAAAAGAAATTAATTCTAGAATCTTACTCTCTAGGATGTGCGGAAGAGGATATGTATGAACCCAAAGTCAAACAAATAATTGACAAATCAAATTGAAACCATCAAGGTAAGCATCACACATCCTGGAATAGAGCTTACATGGGCCATCTTTGTCAAGTTCTAGGACTATGGTTTTGACTTGTTTGGAACTCATTATGATCTTCTCTGTAACATCATCAACAGGATATTCTGCCAGCATTTCTTAAAATGAAAGTCACTCCTTCTCATGGTGAAACAGTAAGAGCGTTCAGCAAATACTTTTGAAATACCTGTAAATGGTCAAGACTTGTGATGTATGCTGGGTGATACATTTTTTTTAATCCACTGTCTTTTGTAGCATATAATAAGATGATGAAGGAAATGAAAAGAGATTGTTCTAATAAAATGTGTTAAATGCAGGGACATATGTATGCACAAAGAAATGTCAAAGATTTGAAGGGCCCTGTTCTTATTAGCTTCAGCTGTCAACTTGAGTGCTGTCTTGTTTTTGTTACCTTAACGAAACTGGACATGCCTGGGAAGAGGGAATCTCAATGTAGAAATTTTCTCCATCATATTGGCCTGTGGGCACGGCTCTGGGACATTAACTTGATTAATGCTAGATGTAGGAAGGCCAAACCTGGTGCAGGCGGCACGGTTCCTGGGCAGATGGGTCTGGGCTGTGAGCATGAGTCACTGGGCAAGCCAGCAATCAGTGTTCCTGACTTGATTCCTACCTTGATTTCTCTAGATGATGCACTGTAACCTGTAAGGTGAAAAAGCTCCCTTTCCTCCCCAAGTTGCTTTTGGTCATGTATTTATCACAGCAACAGATGACAAACTAGGACAACTTGCCACAGTCCAGCATCATCTGAGAAAGTCTGAGTTAGGGGATTCCTAGGTCACAGTTTGGCTGAGCATAGGTATGTGGGGCATTGTCTTGGTTGCTGATTGATGTAGGAGGGGCCAGTCCACTGTGAGAAGAACCATCCATAAATAGGTTGCCTGGCATGTGTAATAGAGCTAGATGAGCAGATGCTAGGAGCAAGCAAGAGTGAACCAGCAAGCAGCTTTCCCCTACCGTTTCTGTTCCTGGTTCCAGGGAGGGTGTAAGGCTGAAAGCACTGGGTATGCCCTAAGCAATCAAAGAGCTCTGACATGCAGAGTAGTATCCTGATCCAGAGGACCCCAAAACCAGACCCCCAAGATGACCACTGCTGACATACAACCGAGAACGAGAGCCAACCAGGAAACACCACATCAGCTGGAAGCAGAGCCTGCCAGAATGTACACACATACATACCTCAGTCCTTTGTTTAATAAAGGAAACTGCTTGTAGTCTCCCAGAGCCTGTGCTGTTGGTTCTGTATCTATTCACCCCCTGCCCCAGGATCAGAGACAGTGGGACCCTGGTTGTAGAGCCAGCAACACTACCTCAAGTTCTTGCCTGGCTTCTGAGGTGAAGCTCCTCAGCATAGTCATAAAGCCATCCTTAAGTGGTAGTTGTCCTTGTGAGCGCGAAGTCAGAGCTCTTGGTTTTAATGCATATCCAAGGACGAACAAAAATTGAACATCCTCTCATCTGCAGATATTTTCTCTGCATACATGGCTTTCTAAAGAGCCTGCCCAAATTCTTTTGCCTGTTCTTAATTAGATCTTCAGTATTTGTTACAGATATTTTCTTGTGTATATATGTTCCAAATTTTTTCTGTCAGTCACCATGTTTGTCTTTCTGGTTCTGGGTTACTTTATTCAGGATAATTTTTTTCTAGTTCCATCCATTTGCCTGCAAATTTCACGATGTTATTTTTTTAACAGCTGAGTAATACTCCATTGTGTAAATATACCACTTTTTTTTCTTTTTTATTCTAAGTGATATCTAGGTTGTTTTCAGTTTTTGGCTTTTATGAATAAAACTGCTAAGAACATAGTTGAGCAAGTGTCTTTGTGGTAGGATGTGGTAGTGTTCTTTGAGTACATGCCCAGGAGTGGTATAGTTAGGTCTTGAGGTAGATCAATTTCCAGTTTTCTGAGGAATCTCCATATTGATTTCCATAATGGCTATATATAAGTTTGCACTCTCACCAGCAGTGTTCTCCTTGCTCTACATCCTTACCAGCATGGGATGTAACTTGTATTTTTCATCTTAGACATCTTACATCTTTCTGATAGGTGTAAGATGGACTCTCATTCATTTTGATTTGCATTTCCCTGATGGCTAAGGGTACTGAGCATTTCTTTAAGTGTTTTTCAGCCATTTGAGATTACTTTGTTGAGACTTCTCTGTTTAGATCTGTACCCAATTTTTTTTAAGAGACAGCAGTTTTTCTGTGTAGTCCTGGCTGTCCTGGAACTCATTATGTAGACCAGGCTGGCCTTTATCATTTTGTCCAGGTGACAGTGTTCCTTGCCTTACAGAAACTTCTCAGTTTTATGAAGTCCCATTTATTAATTGTCAGTGCCAGTGCCTGAGCTTTTGGTATTCTATTCAGGAAGATGTCTCCTGTGCTGATGCATTCAAGGCTATTCCCCACTTTGTCTTCTGTCAAGTTCAGTGTATCTGGTTTTGTGTTGAGGTCTTTGATCTACTTGGACTTAAGTTTTGTGCAAGGTGAAAGATATGGATATATATGCATTGCCGAAATCCAATTAGACCAGCAACATTTGTTAAAGATGCTTTCTTTTTTCCATTGTGTATTTCTGGTTTCTTTGTCAAAAATCAGATGTCCATAGGTGTGAAGATTTGTGTCTGGGTCTTTGATTTTGATGCTATTGATCAACCCGACTATTTCTATATCAATACTGTGTGGCTTTTATTACTATAGTTCTGTAGTACAGCTTGAAATTGGGGGTGATGATACTTTCAGAAGTTCTTTTATTGTACAGGATCATTTTTCCTATTTTGGGTATTTTTATTTTTCCATTTGAAGTTCAGTATTGTTCTTTCAATGTCTGAAAAAAATTGTGGTTGGAATTTTGATAGGAATACATTGAATCTGTGGATTATTTTTGGTGAAATGGCCATTTTTACTATGTTAATCCTATCATTCTATGATCATGGGATATCATTCCATTTTCTGATATCATCTTCAATTTCTTTCTTCAAAGACTTGAAGTTCTTGTCATGCAGGTTTTTCACTTGCTTCGTTGGAGTTATCCCAAGATATTTTATATTGTTTGTCACTATTGGTCAGGCTGTTATTTTCCTGATTTCTTTCTCAGGGTGTCTGTCATTTGTATAAATCAGTAGGAGGGCTATTGATATTTTGAGTTAATCTTATATGCAGGTACTTCACTGAAGGTGTTTATCAGCTGTAGGAGTGCCCTGATAGACTATTTTGGGTAGTTTATGTATATTGTCATATCATTTGCAAATAGCAATACTTTGACTTCTTCCTTTCCAATTTTATCCCCTTGATCTCATTTAGTTTTCTTATTGCTGTAACCAGAACTTCAAGTACTATTGTAGCCATAAGTTTCTCTGGTCCTGCCTGGCCCTGTGGTCATGGTTATAAAATAACCACTCAGAACTTTAATATTAATTGTAAAGTATATGGCCTATGGCTCAGGCTTCTTGCTAACTAGCTCTTATAACTTAACTCAACCCATAACTATTCATCTATGTATTGCCATGTGTTCCATGGCTTTACCTGCATCCCATTACATGTTGCTCTTGGATAGCAGTTTGGCGTCTCACCTTACTCTCCTTTCATTATCTCTCTTGGATTTTCCCACCTCACTCCAATCTGCCTTGCCATAAGCCAATGTAGCTTTATTTATTAGTCAATGGGAGTGACAAATATTCACAGCACACAGAAAGACATCCCACAACATACTATATTGAATAGTTATGGAGATAGTGGACAGCTTTGTATTGTTCCTGATTTTGGTGAAATTGCTTTGAGTGTCTTTCCATTTAATTTGATATTTGCTGTTGGCTGTTGGCATTCTGTAAATTGCCTTATTATGTTTAGGTATGTCCCTTTTATCCCTGATCTTTCCAATACTTTTACATGAAGGGGTGTTGGGTTTTGTCAAAAGCTTTTTCAGCATCTAATGAGATGATTATGTGGTCTTTTTTTTTCCTTTCAGTTTGTTTATGTGGTGGATTACATTGACAGATTTTTGTTTGTTGAACCATCCCCGAGTATCTGGGATGAAGCCTACTTGATCATGGTAGATGATTTTTTTGATATGTTCTTGGATTTGGTTTGTAAATATTTTATTGATTACTTTTACAGCATCAATGTTCATGAGGGAAATTGGTCTGTAATTTTCTTTCTTTGTTGAATCTTTGTGTGGTTTGGGTATGGGGTGAGTGTGGCCTCATAAAATGAATTTGGGAATGTTCCTTCTGTTTCTATCTTGTGGAATAATTTGAGGAGTATTGGTATTATGTCTTCTTTTAAATTCTAAGAACTCTGTCCTAAAACCATCTGGTCCTGGGCTTTAATTTTTTTTTGGGGGGAGGGGAGGACTTTTAATGACTGCCTCTATTTCCTTAGGGGTTATACTTCTATTTAAATTATTTATCTGATTTTCATTTCAGTTTGGTAAGTGTTATCTACCAAGCAAATCCATTTTTTTTTTTTTTAGATTTCCAATTTTGAGGAGTAAAGGATTTTGGCGTATGACCTAATAATTCTCTGAATTTCCCAAGCATCTGTTGTTATTTCCCCCTTTTTGTTTCTGATTTTGTTAGTTTGGATATTCTCTCTCTGCCTTGTAGTTAGTTTGGATAGGGGTTTGTCTATCTTGTTAATTTTCTCAAATGACCAACTCTTTGTTTCATTAGTTCTTTGCATTGTTCTCTTTGTCTCCATTTTATTAATTTCAGACCTGAGTTTCATTATTTTCTCCTGTCTACTCCTCCTATTTTGTTAGATATTAGAATGGCTATACTAGCTTTTTTCTTAGGTTCATTTGCTTAGAAAATCTTTTTTCAACCCTTTTTTCCTGACGTAATGCCTATCTTTGATGTTGAGGTATGTTTCTTATATGCAGCAGAAGGATGGATCCTGTTTTTGAATCCATTCTGTTAGTCTGTGTCTTTTTATTGGGGAATTGAGTCTATTGATAATGAGAGAT